AGCCACGCTAACTATGCAGGGGCAGTGATAGCCACGCTAACTATGCAGGGGCAGTGATAGCCACGCTAACTATGCAGGGGCAGTGATAGCCACGCTAACTATGCAGGGGCAGTGCTAGCCAGGCTAACTATGTAGGGGCAGTGCTAGCCAGGCTAACTATGTAGGGGCAGTGATAGCCATGCTAACTATGTAGGGGCAGTGATAGCCATGCTATCTATGTAGGGGCAGTGATAGCCATGCTATCTATGTAGGGGTAGTGATAGCCACGCTAACTCTGTAGGGGCAGTGAAAGCCACGCTAACTATGTAGGGGCAGTGAAAGCCACGCTAACTATGTAGGGGCAGTGGTAGCCACGCTAACTATGTAGGGGCAGTGATAGCCACGCTAACTATGTAGGGGCAGTGATAGCCACGCTAACTATGTAGGGGCAGTGATAGCCACGCTAACTATGTAGGGGCAGTGATAGCCAAAAAATCCACCATCCCTCTTTCTTTTCTTTTTTTTCTTTTTTTTTTTACAACGACCACTTCCCCTAATGCTGCATCATAGATCTTTGTCTATATCAGATATTGAAAGGTTCACATGTGAGACGTTTAAAAAGGAAAAAAAAAAAGGAATAAAGACCACAGATGTTTGGAATAAACGGATTATGCTACGTTCAGTCCGCAAGCAGCAGGAGCAGCAGAAAGGAGTGTGTTGCTTGATTTTTGATGCTCCTCTCTGCCCCTTTTTAATATGGCTGTAATGTCGACATTCAAGGCAACGCCCAGAAACTTCTACGTATTCATGCCAATGGTCTGGATGTTGGCTGAAAGAGGGAAGCCCCTCAAACCTATTCCTAAATAACATTTAGATGCAGTGCACTGCTGGGCTTATTGAAGTCTATGTGGAAATAGTTTGCCTATCCTGGGAAAATGGACCATGAAGGGAGAAAGTTGCTCTACGTTATTTTTAGACGGCAGCAAACAGAGGAGGCAACTGATGAGCACATCTTTGGGAGCTTCACTCAAGCAGCACTGTTTGCTAAATGAAGAAGCTACCGTTTCATAATTGAACTTTATTATTTCAAAATTGAACTCCCACTGGGTAGAGCAGTGGGCTGCCATTGTGCGGCGCCCAGGGGGCAGTGTAAGGGTCTTGCTCAGGAACCCAGAGTGCTGGCTGTGGGGATCGAACAAGCGCACTGCTCTAACCACTAGGCCAACACTCCCCATGTTTCCATGGTGACTGTGCGGGTCATTTGTTTTAAAGGTATCGTGGTGGATTTTTGTGATTTTTTTTTTTTTTAAGACCTGCCTTCTCCACAATGCATATGCACACTGTAAAAAAATCCTCTAAAAACTCACAAAGTGAAACATTAGATAGATAAATACACAGAGACCTGCTGTGCAGTGTATCCCGATTTATCTGAACTATTAAATCATTGCAAACGTTGTCATCCTATCATATAAAATCTGCTCATCAGCATGGTTCAATGCTTTAGGTTCATAATTATAAATGTGCACTTTAAAGAGAAAGAGATCATGCAATAAACTAGCATTCTGCTAAAGGTTAGCTGCTATCAGCAACTTTTTTATTAGTTCCCATTTTTACGTCAGACATTTCAAAATAACGGTATAGAGCTGAACTCATAGTAAAGTTAAACTGTTATCTTTTTACCTACTTGAGCAAAGCAAACTAGCATGTAACTAACACTAGGGGGCAGTATTCAGCTCACTGTCTAGCATTTTCATGCCAGCTGATCTGTTTTGTCCACAGGTGCAGCAGGGAAGGACACTTCCAGCAGCAGTGGGGATCTGCTGCTGCGCCTGCACTCCCAGTACCCCGGAGACATCGGCTGCTTCTCCATTTACTTCCTGAACTACGTGGTGCTGGAGCCGGGCCAGGCCATGTTCCTGGGAGCCAATGAGCCTCATGCCTACATCTACGGAGGTCAGAGCGATCTAGATTTATTCTATTTCAACATTTCTACATTTGATCAGGTTAAAACTCCAAAAGGTTTTGCTGTTTTTTGGGGATTTGATGAGAAGCAGTTCATACTGTAATTGTGTTTTAGAAGGAAGATGATGCTACTGAAAGAGGAGTAAATCCAGGCTGAGGGATGAATCATTCACTGTGTAAAATAAACACAAAAGACCACAGGTTAAAATACAACGGTAGCTGATAATCACACACTGATTACTACGCAGGCATTAAACACTACTGGAAAAAAGCACAAAAAAGGGGGAAGAGGTCTCTAAGAGTCAGTTCAAAGTCTCTAAGGATTCTTCCAATTTTAAGGCTTAAAGGAGAAGTTCGGTTTTTTACACTTTAAGCCCATTTTCTGTAGTGTCCAGGATGAAATCGAATGATCGACACCAAAAGTTTGACAATTGCTCCTGTCTCTGCTTTTTGGCTCATTTAGAATCCACCCCTGGCTGCTTTAGAATGGCTTGCATAGAGCATGTCCGATAATTTCCTTAAAAGAACCTTAAACGTTCTTTTTTTAAAATATGCTACTCACCGGGTCGTCAGCGCTGTTCAATGACGTTCCAAAAAAAGTTTCGTGAAGAAAAAACGTTCCTGTAGTGTTTTATTTAGCATTTTGTAAATCCCATTGAGTTCTGTAGGAATAGTCAATATTCCGCTGCCACCGGAAACGGAAATGGGGCCTGTTTACACAGTTGTAGTCTTTTCGCTTCACTCTGTGTACTCCGACGTCGAGAATCAAGAATCCACCTTTCGTATTCCATTTTCAGAGTTTTTTAAAGTGTTTAACAGAGACGTTAGCACCTCGACGTCGGAGTACACAGAGTGAAGCGAAAAGACTAGTAATACATTGAAAGTGTCCTTTAAAATAGTAGCAGATGAAAGTAACTAAACCCTGACACAGAAAACTTAAATGCAGTCAAAACATTGCAGTTTCATTCGGTTTTATGGAGAAAAATGGAACAATGGCCGTTTCTCAATATGCGTTCTTGTGCGTTCTCGTGATGCTTGTGATATGTCATCAGCATCAGCCCTAGCACTGTTCCAATTGCCGAGAACGCAAGACCGAGAACGCACCAAATCCCCGGATGTTTTTCTCGCCCCACCCTCTTTATCGAGCATGCATCAGAGCAGACTTGTCCGTTCCTGAGATTGACAGCTGTCCCAGCATGCACTGCTGCAGCAGCTTTCAATGGAGCGCTTCATTTAAAGTTAAAAGTTGTCTTTTCTGTTGCTGTTGTTCAATAAAAGTATGTTTTAAGATAATTTGAGGTGAGAATATTATACGTTAGAGCGTCCATTTACCGATTTAATGTGTAATTAAATAAAAAAAAATTCCGCAGTTGAAAGGACCGCGGCAACAAGCGGAGCTCCAAAGCTAAGGGCAGCCAGGGCTAACCGCAGCCCGTCTGCAGCAACCCTCTCTCTGCATCGCCGTATGTGAAGCACCGCTGGCTATGATGGCGATTTTTTATTTTTGTTTTATTAGGAAAACTTTTCATTTGATTGATCCATCATTATTCCCCCACTAAATGAAAAAAGTAATACTTTATTATTATCTAGAGACTATTAATAGCAGCAGGTGAAATGCAGCTCTACAAGAGCCGAAAGTGTGGTGACGTCATCAGTAAGCTTCTGTTCCAACTGACCCATATCTGTGCTGCGTGCTCGCATTATTGCCGAGTCCATACTTTCCTGTTTTCTTGCCAAGACTGGACTTGACGAGAACGTGAGTCCGTGAATTGAGAATCGGCCAATGATTCAGTAATGCATTCAACTGTGTTGAGGTTGAAAGAGCAATGGGTTAGCTTAGTTGTCTGTACAGGTCCTGCTGAAAAGACGAAAAGGTTAGCTGATGATGCTAGCCAGTCCACGGTAGCTGTTTCTTCAGCTCCACCTGACTCATTCAGTCTGTTCAGTGAGCATTAGCAATCAGTTAAAGTCTTAAAACCATCAGCAGTTGAATCGGAAAGCTAATTTCAAATAAAATACAAACACATCTTTTCCCACCTTGTTCACCAGAGCAGAGCACTTATGATGCTAATTTCAGACCGCAGGCTATTGAAGCAGCAGAAGCAGCTGGTTTACATGCAACGTCAATGGTTGACGCGTATCAAGGCGCACCAAAAGGACCGAGCAGCAGGAGCGTGCGCACATGAAAGCCGCTAACATCTCCTTCCAGCCGCCACGACAATAGTGGAAAGCCCAAAGAGGAGACTGGGCCAGTGCAAGCTACTGCTGGGGATTCCCACTGACAGCGCACCGCCAGTGTGCGGGGCCTTTGTGCTGGTGGACTTTCTCCCTTAAAAGCAAATTAAAACTACTTTCTACCCACTGATCACAGCTAATATAGCAAAGCTGCTCTCTGACATTGAACACAGGAGCAGCAGAAGCATCAGACACATCTTGACTGGACACGCTTCAGGAGCATCAAAGATGCTATTTAGGCGCATCAACCTTAACGTCTACAAGCATCAAAAATGAAGCAGCAGGTGTTTTTTTGCTGCTTCAATCGCATAGCATTAAGCATCAGATGGGAAGAGGGAAGGATGGATCAGGAAGGATGGATCTTACGGTTTTGGCTCGGTGGAATGAAGACCTTCATTTCAATTCGGTTCTTCATCTGGTCCGGTCCCGGTCCAGTCCGTTCGTCCAAAGCAGCTTTCAATTCAATTCAATTTATTTGTATTGCGCCAATTCACAACACAAGTCATCTCAAGGCACTTTACAGTTCAAAAAGATTTGGATTAATCCGAAATACAATAATAAGAGGCATCTTTTACTGCAATCAGCTCCTTTTGAATCCCAGGGAAGGTATTCGGGCTCGTTCCAGCGAGTACAGACTTCTCTGGATGGATTTGGTTGCTACTTATTGCTACTTTAGCTTAATCTTCAGCTGGAAGGTCTCAGAGTGTAGCCATTAGCAGGAGAGGTGGCCTGGATGTTGAACAGGAAGTTGACCCTTTTAAAAGCTCCACCAGAGGAGTGTGCCTTCACGGGGGAGTAGTTTTGGTTAGGTAATCGACATTTGATCACAACACTAATGAATCTCAAATCTGATTCTTTTAAAGCAAAGAGATCATAAAAGTTTACCTGTTTTGAATTAGCTGGCTAACAGGACTTCTATCCTCTGATCTTCTCAATGAAATTTAAATACTCTAACATAGATATTTTGAACCAGCATAGAAATATCACACTTAAGAAGGCCGAACCTGATATTAATTTGAGTTTGATTTTCACATGGAGGGCATTTCTTGGCTGGTTAAGAGGAGGAAGCAGTAGGAAAGCATCCTGACAGAGTTTATATCATCAGTGTCATTTACTGAACCTTAGTTCTATTAAACTAGAGCTGAAAGTGGTCATGTTTTACTTTAGTGGACAGGAGGCATCAGATGCAGTGGCCTAGTGGTTAGAGCATCGCGCTGGAGGTTTGCTAAAGGTTCTCGTTTCAAGTCCCACTCATTCCCACAGACTGCCACTCTGGATTCCTGAGCAAGACCCTTAAGCCCAGACTACTCCTCAGGTGCCCCACAGTGGCAGCCCCCTGCTCCCCAAGGTTTAGGGTTAACATTCAATTCACTTTTCAATTCAGTTTATTTCTAAAGCGCCACAAAATGTCATCTCAAGGCACTTTGAATCAATTTGACTGTTTGATCTGGTTGAATTATAAAGTTTTCTATCTAAGGAAAACTGTTTGACTCTGTGACTCTTCAGCAATCCCTCACACTAAGCATGCTTGTAGCGACAGTGGAGAGGAAAAACTCCCTTTTAATAGGAAGAAACCTCCAGCAGAACCAGGCTCAGTGTCTACAAGGGTTGTAGACATTTTGTAGCGGTTTCTTCTACAAGAGAACGCATAAGAAAAAAGCTGATCTCTTGTTCCGTCAGAGCACTGATTGGAATGTTTTGTGAGGGAATAATGTGTGAAACAAAGGAGGTTTTCTAATGCTGCTAATGGATCAGTTTTATTATTCTTTCTTTTAGACTGCATCGAGTGCATGGCGTGCTCAGACAACACCGTCAGAGCTGGACTGACCCGTAAATACATCGACGTGAACACGCTGTGCGAGATGTTGAACTACAAGCCTGCATCTGCCTCCTCCAAGATCTTCCCGTGCGTCCCCGACCCCGCTGACCCCTGTGTTACCCTGTACGACCCCCCGGTGCCGGACTTCACCGTCATGAAGATTCAGGTGGGAAGTTTGTGTTCATTCCATCTTGATAGATCCCTGTTCTCTCTGCGTACTCTGATGAAACATTTCCAACATCAGCGTCTCCCACCGGATCGTTTACAGATGCTGCAACCTTAGACTTGTTACCACCAACACAGGAAGGCTAACATTAGCAAAGCCGTTTTTGTCCTGTTGTGTTTGAGGCAGCAGCTCTGTGTCATTGTCTTAATTTACACCAATCGATGTTTTCATGAGCCTGTTGCACATTAGATAACCAGCGTAATCTACTGTTTACTTTATTAGCTAGAGCTATCATTGTTAGCAGAAGCTAACATGAAATCAAAGCTTAATCAAAAGGAGAATGACTGTTTAAAGTGACAGAAGAATCCTTCAGTTGTTGTCACACATCGTTCTGATATATCTGAGGAAATGTTTTGATATATAGGGCACTAGATGGTGATTAGGCCATTTTAAATGAGTGTCCGAACATCTAGTGGGTAAAAAAGTAGTGGACTTGAAATTTCCCACAATGCACCTTGAAAAGTAGTGATCATCCATGGTCACTAGATGAGGCGTAACTCCGCCTCCATTCTGCGTAGAGGCGGATTTACGTGACCAATGGGGAGCGAAAAGTAGTGATTATCTGTCCGGTCAGTTAACTGAGTTCACTATAAAGTTCACCATATAGTCTCCGCTCTATAAAGTGAACCATCAGCCAAACAAACAGCAGCTTCTTCTTCCTCCATTTGCTCCTCTTCATCTTCATTTCCTCTCTGATTCTACATATTTTTTTTTTATTTTAAACTGAGAAGGTTTAACGTTACTCACCTAGCATGCATCATTTACCCAGAATGCATTGCAACCTTAATAACATGGCGACATCTGGGTGTCAATGATTTATTTATATTTCTAAAAAGTTTACTTTTTTTTTTTTACCCTGTTGTATTTATTAAAATATTTTTGTAATAAAATCTGTCATAACTAATCCTGGATGGCTTTAAAACATGAATGCTGCCGAACTTAAAATACTCGTCTAATTTGCAAACTGTGAATTTGGACAATGCAGAAAGAAACAAAAAAATGTCTTTCTCTTACAAAAAGCAGCTCCTCTTGGTTTAATTAATTACATTTTTTGTGTGAAAAGGAACAATTCTTCTTTACCGAGGCATGGTAAGTTCCCCTAACCATCTCCATTCATCTGCAGGTCCCAGCCTCGGTGAAGGAGTACACCATAGCTTCCGTCGACAGCGCCAGCATCCTGTTGGTCATCCACGGCGACGCCACGGCCACCTCCGCCGCCGCTTTCTCCGACATCACCCTGCGACGGGGGACTGTCCTGTTTGTCTCAGCTAATGAGAGCGTGTCTCTGCAGATCTCCTCCCAGTCGGGGATGACCATGTTTCGAGCCTGCAGCCTTCTGTAGCATCCCGAGCTGGCCATGTCGCTGCAGTTGGTCCGACTACTGACGTGCACTAATTGGTAGGAGGTATTAAAAACAGCAGATCCAGTTTTTGTAACGGCATCCATTGCTCTTTTTTAACACCTTGAGGATCCCAGCAGCGTTTTTAACAATTCCAGGATTATGGTGCAGGGTAATCATCAGTTCTAACCCTTTCTTTACCTCTAGTGCCATTGCAGCGTTTAAATGAGAACCTGTGCACATCCCAAGTTCTGTATTGGTGCTGGACCTTACGTTATTCCCAGAGCTCTGTAATCATTTCTGAAACAAACAAAAATAAAAATAAAGTCCTGAATCAACAGCAGTTTCTCATCAAGCATCTTTGCTGTATTATAAAATGTTTAGGCTCATTTATTGCACCACCTACTGGTCGTGTGAAGTACTACTTTGAAAACACAGCAGTGGTCTGTTTTAAAAAGCCAGCAACTGTCTTCCACTGGGATCACCAGCAGAGGTAGCAATCTATGAAACTCTTATCACTACAGTGACGATGTAGGCTAGCAACAAGGATTCCCATGCATGCCGATATTTATTTAGAGCTGTCACACATCTGATTGTTTGCTTCCTGCCAGATACATTGAAACTAAACTGCAGAATTTACTAGTTTGGATCAGAGATCACATGCTTTTGGTTTGAAAACAGTGATTAATGTGGAGCTTCAGGAATGCAGTTTTTTTTTATTTTATTTGCAGCTTGCATCAGTGCTTGATACGTTCATAGCGACCCTTCTTGTACGACGATACGCTGCATGCATGGGGAGGGTTAGGGTGTTGCTTTGGTGAATCCGTCTTTTAACAGACATGCTTGTCGCTTCATGTTTTCCGTTTGAACTGCAGACTCTGGGTTTTCCGTCCATCTCTGCAGGATCACGTCGGTGCCTGAAGCTCCAACACTGTAAACAGAAACAGAGTTTTAAACCAATAACGGATTTTTCACATCATGCAGACGATCATTATCCATTGAGTTTACAGTAACGTCTTGATAATGTCTTGAATTGGTTTTTGATTACCGTGGTAACAGCTTCAGCAGGTTTTGGGGATTCTCACCGTCTGCTGTTTGACCTGTTTCATCAAATAACAGATGTTTCAATATCGTAATGGTTTCATTATGTTAGAAATAAATATATCTTTGTCTTTTCTGTAATAGTTTCAAGTTGAGACTCTTTACTTCACGTCTGATTAGGAGATTATAAGCATTTTTTATTTAAATTCAAGGTTCCCCTTGATTTTATTTTCTCAGGAGTGTAATTTAACTTTTTCTGTATAATCTTGAGCTCTCCTTGTTACAAGCTGAATTTGAGGTTTCACTTGTTTTAACAATGGAGGAAGGATGGCAGTGAAGAAAAGCTTTAAGCTCCTGTTTCTACTCTACGATTTGAACTTCTTATGAAGTACGGCTACAGAACAGGGTCAAAACAAGCTCAGCTCATTTATAGTCGACCTCGAAATATTTAAATGTCGTTGTTGCTGCCTCCCAGTAAACTTTCTCTGAATAAATAAGTTCAACCTGCTGCTTTTTCCTGGAGGTTTTCTCTTCAAACGCCTCCATTCATTCATGTTGCTGAAATAAAAGAATGGAAATATCCCTGTTTTTTTTTCCCTTAAGTGATTTTTCTGTTGTTCTGTAACTCTAACACCACATGTAATTTTACTGTGTTTTGTTTTCAGCTTCTGTTACTGATCTTGTCTGTTTCAAACACTGTAGATGGACTGTGAAATGTTTCTGTGGGGAAAACCTCTCGAATCCTGTTAAGGTTTAGAGGTTTTGTTGATTAATGTATGAGAATGCAGGACATGTTTGTGAAAAGTGGTTTAATATAGTCTTTGTGTGCTTCTAAAAAAAAAAAAAAAAAAAAAACCCTAAATCAGTCTGGTTTCTTTTGTTGTTGAAGCAATACTTTATTTTATTACATTTATCTCCTTACAGCCACAGCATTAAGTTTTAGAGCAACCAGTAATGGATAAATGGAAGGAAGGTGAAACATTCAAATTGTTGAAGATCTGTTAGCTTTGCTCACAGTTTTTCTCCTTTTCTTAACTGGTGTGGCCTGAACTTTGACTAGGCCAATCTAACACTTGAAGCTATTTCATTATACGTTCAGTTAACCTAGAAGGTGAAACTGCCCCAGTCTGAGTTCATTAAAGGTGACCTTGTCCCCACAGCCTGGTGCTGCCAGCAGCATGTTTCACAGTGAAGAAGCCGACCATGGATCGTTGGAGAATTTATTAAATTCTCACCTAATTTTTATTCTTATTCAAGTTTAGGGAGATTTATTTATTTTTTTTATGAAACAATCGGGTACATAAAACTGCTTCGGCTCATAAATAGATGAACATCGTGGTAAACAAACATCTCTGAGCAATACAATAAATATCTAACGGTATTCAAACTGTCCACCATCTTTGCAAAAACAGGGAGATGTGCTGAAAGTGCTGCAGTGTGTTCGGTTTGGTTCCACTGTCAGGAGAAACCTGCTGCAGTGGCTCCAACCAAGCAGCCTGGGAGGCAGCTGAAGGAAGGAGTCCAGTTTTTAGGTTTCTCTGCATCGACTTCCCTCTGTTTGAAATGCTCCACCAGGGGGCGCCGTCCTTGCAGCTGATGTGAGGTTTTACCTTTTGCTTCTTGGCACACCTGGTTTGCTGTCCATAGAGTCCAAAGTAAATGTATGCCTGCGGAGCACGTCTGGACTCGGCTGAAGGAAACTATAGAGCGTCTGTAAAGCTCTCACGTCCTCCAAAGCATCATGGGCCTTGTAGTTTATCCCCAGCAGCTCCCTGACCAGGTTCTCCTGGCCAAAACTCTGCAGCCCGTGGTCCCTCAGCAGCTCCCGAGCCAGCGGCAGGGTGTCAACAAAGCCCGACGCCGAAGCCTGAAACGTAGCTCTCAGGTTCAGGTCGTCCAGAGCCTGAGCCAGCAGCCGACAGTCGAAGCGTCGGATGTTATGTCCGACGATCAGAGGGCGACCGAGCATTTGAAGGAAAGTGATGAAGGACACCACCACCTCTTTGAGGGTGTTGGTGAAGACGAGCCGATGATGGAGGAAGAGCCTCTGCTTCCGGACCTTAAAGCCCGTGACTCTGGCTGCTCCTCGCTGAATACGACACCGGGGGACGACGTAGAGGTTGAGTGAATGACCCCCGCTTACCGCTGCCAGCTGGATGATCTCAGAGTCCTGACCTGGAGAGGAAACAGTGCAGAGATCAGAATGGCGCCTCATTTGCTCTGCGGCGAAAGACATGGATGGATCTCAGAGGAGACACAACCCTTCAAACTGCTTTTGGTTCCACTGAGGGCTTTAATAATCCAATAAGAGGAACTACAGCCATGCAAGAAGCTACCTGAAAGAAAACATTTATCTGTATCATGAACAGAAGATACAAACAACTGAAATGAGTTTTCTCTGCAGGGTGGCTGGGCTCTTTCTTAGAGATAGGGCGAGGAGCTCGGTCATTAAGGAGAGGCGTAGAGCCGCTTTCCTCCACATAGAGAGGTCAGCTGAGGAGGCTCAGATGCCCCTGGGATGCCTTCCTCAGGGGGTGTTCCAGGCATTTCCCACCGTGAGGAGACCCAGGGGACGCTGCAGAGAGTATGTCTCTCAGCTGGGCTTCTTCCAGCAGAGCTGGAGGAGGAGTCAGAGGAGACGGAGGTCTGGGAGTCTCTGCTGATGCTGCTGCCCGGAAGAAGCGTGAGAAGAGTATGGCTATGTATAGAGCAGAAAACTGCTTGTTTGCTAAGAAGACCTTAAAAAGATCTGGTGCAAAAAATTACCTTTAAAAGTCACATAAGTGAAATACACTCTACCTTAGTGCAAGAAGCAAGAGATGCGACACCATGAGGAACAAGCTGTGCAAAAAGCTCAGGGTTAGTCCCCCGCTAAATAAAAAAAGGAAGAATTTATTATTATCTAGAGACTATTAATAACAGGTGAAATGCAGCTCTAGACAAGCAGAGCGTGTGGTGATGTCATCAGTACCCATCTGTTCCAATTGACCCCTATTTAAGGTACACGCTCCCGTTCTCACAAAGTCCAGACTTCCCTGTGTTCTTCTCAAGAAAGTACTTGGCGAGGACATGAGTCTGAACTCACGTTCTAGTGAACTGAGAAATGGCCAAAGTCATTGGGTTGTAAAAAAAAATTGAAATGCTATTTTTAATGTGCCCCTGAAACCCCCTCACCTCTAGTTACCGAAGAAAACCTGTAAAGAGAGAACAGCCCAGAACTCACAGACCAGTCCAGGATTAGGAGAAGATGAATTAAGTTAAATACGTAGAGATTCTAGAGAAAAACCGGTCCGCCTGCCTGGGATTAAAGAATGGATGAGCTGGAAATGACCCAAACATGTCTGCAATGGCCTAGTCAAAGTCTGAACACTTCAATTACATGTTGTGTCTTGTTTCTTATAACAAATACAATAAACCTCTTAAACGATTTAGGTAAGATCTGAAAATAAAATGGTGCAAACCCTCAAACAATTTCCAGGCTGAGAGGAAACAAAACATAAAAGATTTATTCAGGAGATGCTGTTCCAACTTGATTATAGATCTTGGATCATTTTTTTCATCAATTGTACAAGAAACCAGTGACTGCCAGGTGTGTAAGGACACTATACTAGAGAAAACAAATTTAGATTAATAAAAGTTTGGCATTTGAAAGGGTAAAAAGGAAAAAAACGAATAAAAAGAATAACAAGTCACATAAATAATATAAATATACAGATAAGAGAGTCAGAATTTGTTTAAACATTCTGTTTTAGTTGCTTTTATTGTGATGCTGTATTGTTTAGGAAGGGAGTGGTTAAAGTTGGGATTAAATCCCTGATCAATGTCTGCTTCTCTCTGCTTCATCCTTTCTTACCCAGGCCGGTTGTCTCCAGGTCGAAGAAAACTACTGGATGTTTCAAGGTTTCTTCTTCGTCTGCTTCCTGATGCATCACGTTAAGACCGAAACAAAAATCATCACCAGAGAACCTGAATAGGAACGCAACACCTTTTGCGTTCCTATTCACCTAACCCTAACTGCTAAATAGGCGGATTTATCTGCAGTAACAAGCTACCTTCATTTCGGTTTACGTCACAAACGATTCTCCCTCTTCTTGTTGAAATTTTTATGGCGGTTGGCAAAAATGTTAGGTGAGCATTACCGCCACCAACTGGTAAGGAGTGTGTACCACATGGCAAAAAAGAAACAAACAAAACCTATAGCCTATCCTGTTTCAAAAACTGAAATATAACCTGATATCCTGCACTTCCTAAGTCCTTTTGCAGTAAATCAACAATGTCATGTTTCATTTTCATATTTTCCTAATTTACTTGTTTCTCTGAATCAAATATTCCCTACAACTCAAAATAACATGTTCCACCGGCTCATCTTCCCCACAGTCACATTTCCCTGTCTGATGTATCCCTATTAAAACTAAAGACCTATTCAATCCTGTGTGTCTGATTCTAAGTGGTGAAATAATTCTCTCTTCTCTCCTGTTCCTTTCTTTTCTTCTCATTTGTCCAATTCTCTTTTGGATTTTATAAAACCACTTCCTTTCTTTTCTTCTTCCCATTACTTTTGCCACCTCGCTTTTGTTTTTGTTTTGTTTAATTATACCCTTTATTTCTGTTATACTAAAACTAACATTAATATCTATCCTTACCTTTGCCCATCATATTTATTCTGTAAAGTGTTTGCTGTATTTCAATTAATATATCTGGTCTACTGTCTGACTGATTATTTTCCAAACTGACTAATGACGAACTATAGTCTGAACAAATGAATGAATATTAATGGTCTTAAACTTAGGCTCTGTTCGAAAACATAGGACGGGTCCTCCAAGGACGCAGTCTACCTAGACTGGATCCTTCGAAGTCCTTGAAAATAAGGAGA